ATTTCCACTTTGAACCCACCCATGATAGGCTGCCAACTTGAGGACCTTGCTTTAATCACAGCAACCACATAAAAGGGTTTATTCTGTTTATCTTGGTACATTTAGGAAACCAATGATAAGCCTGACATGAAAAAATTCCATCTTCTCCTGGAAGCTGGCATACTTATCCCAAGATACAGTCTTTGATTCCATTTTAAGTGTAGTTATTTACAGTCATATCACCGAGGGCATGAGTTTTCTCATCCTGCCAGATGACTTCTTTTCCCTAATAAGCAAGCTGTGATAGTTTCAAAATCCTTCTCAAGCAGAGTGGCATCTCCGGGGGAGAGTGCTGGGGAAAGGGCAGCAGATCCTCCTAAAGCCACGTCTGCAGTGTGCAGGCTGCAACCTTGATGTGTGCAGCCAGACAGGAGGCAAGAGGTGCTGGAAGAGCTGTGGCCCACACATGGGAGGGGATGAAACGTGCAATGAGACCACCCTTTCCTTCTTGCACTAAATTTTGTGAAGAAAATAGGACAAACGCAGTCTTCAATAAAGATATGAGACATGTGCCCAATTACTGAACATGAAGATGGAGTAAAAAACAACAGACATCGAGGCTTATGGAAGATAAAGTAATATAGCTCTTTTCTGCATGGCCTAGATGTGAGTTTGGTGGCTGTGGAGTATCATGGATAACCAGACAGGTTCTCTTGTCCCTGTAAACCAGAGCAGGGTATATATAATATAGCCTAACCTTCCTGTGGGCTGCTGGCTGACCCTGGTGGTGCTGCTGCAGTACCCAGATGCTCTTGCAGTGGTTTTCTGGGCTCACCAGGTACCTCACAGGGCTGAAGGGTCAATGGACATGGTTCTCTCCTTGGACACAGATGGTAGCACTCTGCTGTGACCAACTCAAAGACATGGACATACTGGATTCCTGGAAGCTACATGAAGCCTCAGCATCTGGCAAAGACATAAATGAGAATGGACAGGAAAACTCTTCTCATATTTGCTGAAAGGTGCATAGTGTTCAGATTCTGAGACATCATTATCGTCAGTGAGACCATTTTTCCTCTTAAGATGTAGGTTACATTACTACATTTACTTCTGGTTTCTCAGCCTTTGGCACCTATAATTCAATTTTCCCATTTAAAAAATTGCTGACGTCTCTATGCTGATATCTCAGCAAACACAATATTTCATTCCTAACTGTACTCTGTTAAGTCTGGATTTGCTCCTGTTCACAAGCAATAGATTTGAAATACAGCCTTGCAGAATAATTAGTAATAAACATACAAATTTGACAGGCAATAATTTCGTAGTTTTCATGTGAGATAACATGATATTTTGCAAAACTTTGCTGTATTGTGTGATTGTGCCAATTTACCTCTCACAGTAAGATAGAGTTATTCATGTTGTGAGATATTAGGAGATGCTACTATAAATCTTGCAGTATCTTGCAAATGGTGCAATTACTCTTTGCAAGTACCCAGATGGGGATTATATCTCATTATATCAAGTGCTATGCAAAAAATATGTCTGGCTGTAATTAATGGGCTTGGAAACTTCAAGAAGAACAGATCTGCTGATGAAAAAAACACAAACTTTCAGAGTTTCAGTTTGAATAACAACTCCAGTGCGTGGATGTTTATGTTAGACTTGTCCAAAGTACGTAATCACCCTGAGAATGAAGAACTGGACTGAATCTCAGGAGTGACCTTCCTTGTAGGATTTCCATTGTGTCCTTTATCTGTGTCTATGCCTTAGAAGTATGTCCAAAATTTTTCCTTTCTGATGCTACAGTAGCCTTTAAATTTCTGATCTGTATTTTTAGAAACAGAAATAACAGACCCCTGAGGGGGAAAAAAACCCCAACAAAACAAAACCAGTTTTATATATCTTTAAGGTTAGAAAATGGCCCACTTTGTTGGAAGCTAAAATGAGTTCCTATTTAATGTGAGAACTGATTCACTCCAGCACCCAGGCTGGTTTGCTCACATAGGTGTAACACGGTGTTGCCAAATTCCCAATTAGGAGCCCTAGTCAAACATTCCAGCACATTCCCATTGCTCCTGCCTGAAACCTTAAAATGTGTTTCTGAATTCTTAGCCCCCATCATGTAACATTTGTAAATAGACAATATTCCTGGTTTGTCCTGCTCAAGGGATGCTTGTGGCCAGTCCACACGCTCTGCAGGATTTCAGTGTCATTTGCCTCAAAAACAGATTTCCCCAAAGAAACATCTTTGGATGATCTCACAGGCAGGTCAGAGATGGTCATCTTGGGGTTTTCCCTGAAGTTTTCTGTGGCATTATTTGCTGTACAGGCTGATTGCGTATTCAGATATGCTTATATTAAAATTGACTTTTAATATTAGTCATGAACAGATCTTCATACTTTTACACATATTTTCCCTGAGAGCCAAAGTGGTTAAAGAAAACTGCATCTGAATAAATTTATTCTGAATAAAGTTATTCTCATTGGGTAATAACTATTCTGATTAAGCACACCAAGCGTGGATCAATCTCTAAAATATTTTTAAATGCTTTGAAATGTAAGTTTTCATTTTTCTCTAAAGATTACATATTGTGTCCATTTCAAAGGAAGTATGGAACAAGTCAGATGAAATTTTTAAGGTGAAAAGTGAAAATAACGTGAAAGTTTTGTTTAAGAAAAATGACCTTTCTGAAACAAAGGCTTACAATTACGGTTCTTCTAAGCAAAACTGAAAAGAATTCCTTTTTCTTGCTATCGCAAAAGGAGTCAAAAAGCAAGGATGAGTGAATTTTGCTTACCTACCTTTAATTTCACCTTAGCAGTGTAATTTATCAGTCAGAACCAATGTCAGGGTTGCACAATTATTAACTGAGCTCCTTTTACTGAATCCTTGTAACTCCGACTACTGTGCAAGCCATGAAACATGAAAGTTCACATTAATTATGAGCTCAGATTGCAGAACAAACCATCAGGAAAAACAGCTCTCCTGCTTGCCTCTGCCTCCAGCTCCCAAAACCTGTCCTGAAAATGTTCAGTGACCCCAAGCCTGCAAATCCACAGTGTGTAAATGGATGCTGCTTTTAAACAGACTGTCATAAACACACGATGAACAAGGGAAGCAGTAATGGCTATTTTTAGATGGATGGCACCAGTTTCAGAGCAAACTGATTTTTTTTTAAGGAAAGCTTTCAGATCACCCTATCTTGTATGCAACTATATCAATTTACCTCAGCTTCCTCTATAACAAAAACAAAAAAAAAAAACCACCAGTAAGTGGTGTCCAGCATCATCCCTGGGCTTTTGTTGGATGTAGAGGAATTTCCCTGCCAGTTCCATGGATCAACTCTCACTTAGCAAGGACTTGGCTGACAGTAAGAAACTCCAACTCACACATTTATTCTCCTGGCTTATTAACTCTTCTGACTTCTCCTACAGTTTCTTCCATCCAGTCTGTGCATAATCAACTCTTTCAGTACTTAGGATGTGAACCTCAGGTTTCCTTCTTTCTGGAATTCTTTCTTCCCTAGTCCTACTCACTTTAATTTTGTACTTGCTATATCTGTCTAACACTGTGCTCTGACTAGAGAACTGGTATGCTTGCAGTAATTGGCAACGAAAGTTGTCCTTGAAGGACCACTGCTGTTTTATGTTTGGAAATACCAACCCTGACAAGACATGCCAACACTTAATTTGTACTTGAACCATTTAGTAGGTGAATTGACTTTGATCACCGTAACAGTTAAAAGGACCCAAAAAAACCCCTAACAAAAATAATATACAATAGGAACAAATATGCTGGAATATCTCTGCATTCTTGAAGTCTTTTGGTCTCTTTTTCTGAACAGCATAAGAGGCTTTTATATGCAGCCTGTTCAGGAGAATCTCCCTGCAGCTGGGAGAGTATGACAGTGTGTACTTCCCACAAAGTACTCAATACTGAGGGCTGCTCAGAATTTTTTATGGATAGGGAGTTAACAGGGGAGAGCTCTGCCTATGGATTAACTAAGAAAGTGTTACCTGGATGTAATGATATGCTCTTGCTTTCAGTAAAATAGGATAATGCAAACCAGAATAATACTCTGGCTGTGTATCCACAAAATATAATCTTTTTCCACCAGAAACTAGAACAGTTTAATGTGTTGATTTTTACGTCCTGCTACAGTCCTTTAATAAAATCAGCCCGGAGTTTGGAGGGGTTGGTTATTGTACTTAAAATGCGTTATTGTCCAGATTGCAAACTTAACCATTTTTCCTTCTCCTGTGCCCATAACAGTATTACAACAGAAAGAAATGAACCAAACTATGCTTGTTAACCTACTTACACGATTTTCATCCTAATAAATTCATGGGTTTATGTGTTCTGCTAATTCTTCTAATGAAGGTAAGAGAATTTATTTCTAGCAATTAACTGAGGGTTCTAATCCAACACAGCACTTAAATATATACTGAATTTTCAGCACCCGAGATGATGCCTTGACAACAACTGAAAAACCATAGAGCAGAACTAGTGAGAAACAGTAATCAGAGAACAAAAAACTATTTGGTTTGGAAGGGGCCTTTAAAGGCCATCTAGTCTAACCCCCTGCCATAGGCAGAGACATCTTCACCTAGATCAGGTTCCTCAGAGTCTGACTGTGAATGTTTTTATGTTTTTAGGGATGGGGCACCTGTTTCCTGCAAAAAAAAAAAAAAAAAAAAATCCTAAAGCCCACCAAAACCCAAGAACACCTTTCCTCCACAGGAAAAAAACCCACAACTAAACTTCTAAGAAATTAATCCCAAATCTGTACTCACAAAATCCCTAAAAATATTTTTTTTTCCATCAAAATGAGAAACAAACAAAGTTCTGGCCTTCTGAATGTGTGCCAGGAAAGCTCCTGTCATATGCCAGAAAGTGAACTTACAGCAGGAGAAAAGGTGGCTTCAATAAGCACAAGAAGGGAGCAATAAAAGCAACAAAATTATTATAAACAGCCTGGTAGGTAGTAATTGCAGCCATAAAAACGTTGCTATTTACTTACTTGTTTTTTTATAGCTATTGTGGAAAAAATGGAAAAATGTTGAAGAGATGGTTTTGAGAAGCTCTAAGCATTGGAGAAGCTCACAATGTTCAGAAGAGCTGTTAAGAACGAAACACAAAAAAGTTAAGGAAACACAAAAAATGGGACATCTCCACATCTCATCTGGTTTTTCAGAAAACCTGGTAAAGACAAATTTATGCACGGGGGATGGGAAAAGGTCAGTGTAATTTTTTCAGAGTTATGGATCTAGAGCTACTTCTTGAATGAATAAAAACATCAGTAACTATGGGAAAGATACATAACTGAACTTAATATTTGTATTAAATCCTTATACATGCCATTGCTAATGTCTGTTAAACAGTTTGCTGCAAGTATCTTCACTGGGGTGGGGTAGAAAGATTATCTTAACATTTATAATGGAAAGGTAGCCATAAGTTTTCTCTGATCCGCCATTACAAAAACTATAAAACTGAAGATCAAATTTATAAATGGAGGTTTTGAAATCTAAACAAGTGTCCAAGAACCTCAAGGCTTCTGCTTGGTGTTTTACCTTTTACTTGCCATAACTGAGTCTTAGAAGGAAAAACACAGTTTGTTGTTTCAGAAGGCCATTTTAAAGAGCTGCTGTGGTTTGTGCCCAGAGGTGCTGGGAAAAAGAAGGATTAACATTTTCCAAAGGGAGCTAAAGTAATATGTGGAAATAGCATACATTTGTAATGCATTTGGTTGAAAAACTAATTGAAGCCTCAAGGATTAAAAAAAAAAAAAAAAAAAAAAAAAAAAAAAAAAAAAAAAAAAAAAAAAAAAAAGGCAAAATAGATACTTGACTATCTGATTTGATACAAGCCATCCTTTCATTCTGCTTGTCACAATGTCAGTAAAGAATTCAATGTCACAAGACAAGAAGTAGCCATAACAGCCATATCTACCTCCAGGAGCTTTCCTTGATGTAGTAGAAGACTGAGATGGGCTTGACTGCTTTGCTAGCGGGAGCAAAGATGGAGATCACAAAACATGGTGCCTTCAAAGTCTATGTTGAGGACTTATTTTAGCATTTTTCCTATATTTTTGCTCATCACCAGCTAGATAGCAACAGGAAAAACTATTCCTAATTAGTTTAACTATGAATAAATCAAGCAACAAAAGCCAGCCTCATTCAGCAGTGACATTAATATCTAATAACTAGGTCACATTATCCACAATTACTAGAGAGACTATAGAGCTCCTTGTGGAAAATAACTTCCTGTAGTATCACAGGACATGAATAAAATCTGGGATGCATCTAGTTCAATAATGGACTCAGCCAAGCAGAAAATTAACCAACACATGGTCTAACCACTAATCCCATAGCTCTAAAATTCCTGCAGGATGTTAGGTATCTGTTTCAATCAAACCAGTAGTGAGAAAAAGTCCAGAGTTGTCTCACAGAATGTTCACAGGGAAAGAAAATTTTGTTCAGAAGTGAAAGACTGGATGCTTTCACGTACTGATCAGTATTTGGTGCAGCAGGTAGGTGTGAAGAACCCTGGGGACACTAGGCTATAATGATTCCTTCAGGTAAGAGCGGATTTTCCACATGTGCCTCATGCCCATTTGTTGGGTGCGTCCTCCAAAATAGTTCCTCAACCTGGTACGGAGAGTTTTGGCAATCAGCAGAGGAGCTCTCACTGGCAAGAAACTCTGCACGTGGGCTAAGCAAATTTAAGAAAATCCAGATCACAGAATTCCTTGTTATTTCAAATGTCTTCCAGCTGTTTTCTGTCAATCACAGTACTTCTGTATGCTTGAAAGTATCCTGTTGCTGAGGACATCTGCTAATGCAAAATATTGTCAGATGATGAACAGCAAGAAACCATCAGAAAGGATGTATATTCTTACCTCCTAAGGAAAATGTGACAACAGGGCTATGCCTAATCTGTCTAATCTGCACACAAAGGGTATTAAAGTCCCAGTCTCGCAAATTTCCAACATGCTCCAGGCCTGCTCTTCTGCTTGGAGGAGTGTTCTACTTTGTGTGGAGAAGCATGAAGAAAGCTAACATTGCTTTGTTCCTCTCTGTGGTCATAAGGGGACAAGATGGTGCCATAGTAAAGGACATGGGGCAATGGCTTTAATCTGAAAAGGGGTAGGTTTAGACTGGATATTAGAAAGAAATTCTTTACTGTGAGGGTGGTGAGGCCCTGGCACAGGATGCCCAGAGAAACTGTGGCAGCCCCATTCCTGAAAGTGTTCAAGACCAGGCTGGATAGGGCTCTGAGCAATCTGGGATAGTGGAAGGTGCCCCTCCCTACGGCAGGGACATGGTCTTTGTGAAGATGGCCTTCAAGGTCCCTTCCAACCCAAACTAGTCTATGATTCCGTGATAAGTACCCAGTCCCATGGTTCAGATATAGCTAAGGAGGACCATGAGTCCCCTGAAAACGTGCTCAATGAGGCTTTCAAAAGAGTTTTTTTTGTTCATGTATTCTGAGTAAGATACACAGGAGAAATACCAAGAAGATATTCCCTCCATTCAGAACCAAAAAATAAAAAACTTTTCTGGCAACTTTAGAGAATCAGTGCTTTGGCAAAAGGTTTAATGCAACATTCTATCAACATAAAATATTTCTGAAAGTATTAATTTAGTCCATTTAACTCTACAAACTCTAAGCCTGTTCGATTTTACGTTCCTCAAATATTCTAAGGAAATTAGGAGAAGATAAAAAAGCTGAGAGAAAGACTAAAAAGACATAGAAAAGCACACATACAGCTACCATCTCTTGGTGTTCAGCTGACAGAAATGAAGGTATTTACAGGCATAGGTTAATCCAAGAAACTGACACAGGGATCTTAGGAGCATATCAGGTACCATATCCTTAAATTCCAGCTAAGTATATAGTAATCAACAAAAAAAAAGGGAAAGTCTCTCTTTTCCAGTTTAACAGTATTATATAGATTTTTCTCAAATGGAGAAGCAAACAAAAAACCAAAACTAACCAAAGCTAGCCATTAGTAAGTGATCAATAAGCGCAGACAAAATAGCATGCTTATCTCTCCCTGATTTACACAGTAGAAAAAGCACCAACTTTTCCCTCATGTGAATTACTTTGTTTTTTACACTACATTAAGGTGCTAATCAGCTTTGAGAAAGACTGTGCTTTTTAAGTATGTTACTCTAACCTTTAAAAACAATTGTAATGAACAAAGAAAAAAGGGCACAACTTAAATTTTTCCTCTTTAACCAATTTATTTCATTATTTTCAAGGCCTAGACCAGCCATATTGAAGTGCCCTACTATGATATATGTGATCTGACATTGGCATGCCTGCTCAGTATTTCTGGGAGATTATGTGGTTATACACCAGACAAATGTCAAGGTCCTTAAATTTTCACTGAGGTACATTCCCTGTGGTTTCATTGCAGAGGTCAAGATTTTAATTCCCAGGGGCAATTGTATTTTTAAGGTGGAATTATGTGTTTATAATGTTTTCCATTGTGGGCTACTCTTTCTTGTAATAAGAATTGTTAAGAACTCTAGTAGCATGTAGTTGATTAAAAATAGGAGATTTTTTTCCTCTCAATAATCTTTGAAATGTATTCTGTTTTGTAGCTATGTCTAGCCTCCATAAAATGACTGCAAGTAAGTATGATATGCATCAAGAGCCTTTAAGAATAAAACTTTTTGAAACTGCTCCCCTCATACTAAAACAGAGTTTGAGAGAGGTGTAGTGTTCAATTTGCATGGTAAAAACACAGAAAGCAATTGCAAGGCAGTCACTGCCAAGAACATTTGGTGTCAATTACAGCAGGGTTGAAAAAAAACGAAAAAAATTATATATATAATAGGGGAGAGGCAGTTCTTGGGTTTTTCAGAAGTGAGAATTTCCTGCATTTTCTGTTTCATCAAAAGGCAGTTTGTCCCAGCAAAAATGTCAAGATGTCTCTTACCTAAGTAATTGCCCCACTTGCATTTTCAGTAGACCAGAAAGTTGTACTATTTTCATGAGTAATAATGAGAATACTAGAAAGTGATTATTAAATGCAGACATCTGAGGGACAGAAATTGTAAAAATGGAAGACAATTTTCCACTTCTTTAAATGGCTCCCACTATTATTCCTGGAACTGTCCCATGACTGCTGCTGTTGGTAGCCACATACCTCAGCAACCAGGTCGGTCATTGTGCCATTAGTAACTTACCCCATGAGAAGTCCCACTGGTTTCATTCCCTACCCTTCCCATGGGACAGAATCAGGCCCTTTTGATCTAACAGAAAAATTCTCACAATGTATATGTTCAGGCACTGCACTTTTCTAAAAAAAAAACCTTTTAAAGAAAATAATAAAATTCCATGCACCCTCGTTTTCAGTCCATAAAGAAAACTAGTGCTTTCTGGGTTGCAAAAATGACCCCCAATGAATAATAATGTCCTTGCTTGTGGCTTCAGAACTTAACACCCATAGATTTCCCCCATTTTCATCCCAGAGTGCAATTCCTTTCCCCATAAACTAAACTTCCAGCCCACATCAATTTTATGACATACTTTTAAAATGTCATTTCAGTCCAAAAATGTGCAAAATTAATTTGAAGTATGTTCTACCAATCATAAAAAAAAAAAAAAAACAAAAAAACAAAAAACACATACAGACCTCCACAGACAATGTGCAGAAATTGTGTCATGTTGGGAAAGAAAACAGCCATGGCTGTTCACACACGTGGTGAACCAGCCATGAGTTGATCAAGCTACTCTTGGTTCCTCCAAATAAATCCTTGATTTTTCTTTTCATTCTTCGTGTCCCCAGCACATGGATGCTCTACTGCTGTGCCTACAGCCAAAAGAACCACAGCTGACTTCTGAGCATGCTGGGGTACCTGTTGTGATGAAGATCTATGGCCTGGCTTGAGCAAACCCTAAGTGGACAACCTCTTGTTGGAAAACAACCCACAAAAACCAACCAACCAACTAAACAAAAAAAGAGTTTTTTGAGCTGGCACGGTCTCTTGTGTAAGTTTAGCAGTCTTGTATCTCACCAGAGCTATAAAAGGAGGCCCAGTCCGTGATCTCATTTCCACCACATCTGGAATGATTCCACTGGAGTCACTAAAAATCCCTCTCGTGCC